TAGCAGTATAGCAGTATAGCAGTAGCAGTAGCAGTAGCAGTAGCAGTAGTAGTAGTAGTAGTAGTCGTCGTAGTCGTAGTCGTAGTCGTAGTCGTAGTCGTAGTCGTAGTGTTATTATGATTATTAGTAGCAGTCGTAATAAGTAGCCATAGTAGTAATGGTAGTAATAGTAGTGATCGTCGTCGTCCTCCTCCTCGTCCTCGTCGTCATCGCGGCTCGGCATGATCATGACCCGCGAACCTAACGGGTACTCACGGCGACGAGAATCACTTCGATGGACGAGCCTTGCTACTCCTTTGTTTCCTCGTTCAATACAGGCAGCAGTGCTCGTACTCATTCCATTGCCAGAGCTAGTGCCAGCGTCGGCCTTAGCAGCACTATCGTGGCCGAACCAACCCGACATACATGCTTGCAAGCAACTGAGCACCAAGAACAAGTGTAAGCTTAAAAGTACCATATAACCACATCACTGTCATTATGGTTGGGTTTGGTGGTGCTATGGCTGACATGTAACTTCTGATGTGTGTGGTTTAGGTATCCCGAGTCTCCCGCCAGTCGCAGACCCAGGACATTCGTCACCTTCTTTACAGCTATGATGTCTTTGATGCTGGGCTGCAGATGTTAAACCCTAAACCCTAAACCCTAAACCCTAAACCCTAAACCCTAAACCCTAAACCCTTAAGTTCAGGTGGGAGGGCCTGCAGTGTTACTTTGAAGCACGGGTCTTGGACGCAGGGTACATACCTCCAACTCTTAGCTTTCAAACCCCTACACGTTTGGCTTTTGGGAAACATAGCGAATTTGATGGGGGTGATACAAGGCGAATGATACGGACGGAGTCCCAGCGGTGCTGAGCTATGAGTGGAGTAGAACAAGACTTCGGGGAGATGTTACAATCTCGTCGGTGTATCTAAAGACCAAGCCAAACACGGATTGCTACTCGCGCAGCATCTCCTACAGTAGGTTGCTCTTGCAGTAGCTCATGCTCGAGCGTTTCTGAGATGAAGGCTCTTGGATTGGACATGTGCGCTAACATGCGCTAGCAACACTGAACCTGCCCTAAACCCTAAACCCTAAACCATCAAGGTTGTGCTTGGCGCTGGTCCTGAACTCGCAGATGAAGTGGTGGTTGAGCTCCTCATTTCTGGTGCCTCGGATCGGAAAGCCCAGCGACCGTAACCGCGATTGTTTCTTGCATGGAATCCTGCTGGGAGTTTCCGAAAATTGGGGTACCTTATTTTGGGGTCCTTATAATAAGGATCCTATTATTTGGGGTACCATATTAGGGCCCCCTATTTTTGGAAATCCCCTGCTCGCCGCTGAACTCCGAAGCGCAACGACGACATCGTTGTATACTTACCAAGTGAAGACCAAACCCAGCGTGCCATCAATCTCGCAACACATCGAAAGCCAGAAGCTGAAATCCTGAAGACTTGGGAAATGCCTGGGTAATATAGGGGCCTGAATAATTGCCTCGACTATTTTTTTTTGGGGGGGTACCTTATTATAACTGTAGTATAACGGGCCCCGAAGCCTCTTCTAATTATTAAGGCCCCTGCATTAGGTCTACTTGCGCTGGCACGTGCTGCTGAATGCCGTGAACGTGTGGCTCTTCCATTTCCTGGCCGCGCACAGGCGGCTTGCACAGTATGCAAAGCTGCATAGTGTTTGCCTTGGGCTAAGTTTAGGGTGTAGGGTTTAGGGTTTAGGGTTTAGGAATTTACTAAAGGTGTCCCAAGTGCCTGAAATCCGAGTTCTGCAATTGTTAACACCAAGCCGTAGATGGAAGTGGACCCGTAGCCAAGTTGCAGTTGTAACTTCATGTCTAGCGATGCCATAACACGCAGCCCCAATGACACCATCGGTATGAATGGGGTCGAGTATAGTAGTCGTATTGGAAGAATCAGCATAAGACCTTAAAACTAGAGATCCAAATAGCAATAATAGTACTAATAGCAACTATAATCTTCACGGCTACCAAAGCAACTCCCGCTTCTCAACGCTGAACCTACTTCACTTGAAGCCCTCAAACCTAAACTCTCTACCAGCTACCCTAAACACTGAAGACTTAATCACTGCTTAATCTGAGGGTTTCCGAAAATAGGGGACCCTAATATAGTACCATAAATAATGGGATCCTTATTACAAGGACCCCCAAATAAGGTACCCTAATTTTTGGAAACTCCCATCTTACTCAGCCCTAAGTGTCTTCGAGCCCCTAAACTCTTAACAAACAGCTACCGCGACCTCACAGGTGGTGTGCCGCGCATAACACGCAGCTCGGCAACATCTCTGATGTTGGTGGTTCCGGCTTTAGGTTTGCAGGCTTTGGGGGGGGGGGGGTAGGGATAGGCTTAGCAACTGGGGACTTCTGGTCACTCTTAACGCCAATGTGGTCACGCATCTCCGATGCGTAATGTGGGCACCGGAAACCGAAAAGCAGATTTTTGGACACACCTGTAGGTAAAGTGGCATTGTATCTTGACCCGTCCAATTCGCAATGAGGTTCCTTCAATTTCCAAGTCCAAGAGGTCAGTTGTCGTTCCTACTGATGTTTGAAGTACGGTTGATGACGGAATCAGACAGGAAATGGATAAGAACACTCATCCTGGTCGTGATCACCTTGGCAAGTGAAAGTGCAAGTGTCAGTCGACGTCCTAGTGTCGCTGGTAGTCTTAGTGTGGGTATGTTAGTAGTAGTAATAGTAGTAGTAGTAGTAGTAGTAGTAGTAGTAGTAGCAGCAGCAGCAGCAGCAGTAGTAGTAGTAGTAGTACTCGT